GAGTCTTATAGAAATTTGTAAAATTATGAAGGGAAGAGATAAGAAAGATGCAGGGAGGATGTTTTCACTGGGTGAAACTAGAACAAGAGGGCATAGCCTCAAAATTATGGGGAGCAGATTTAGAACTGAATTGAGCAGGAACTTCTCCCTTCATCCAAAGGGTTGTGAATCTGTGGAATTCCCTGTCCACTGAAGTAGTTGAGGCTACCTCATTGAATGTTTTTAAAGCTAAGATAGAAAAACTTTTTGAACAGTAAAGAAATTAAGGGTTATGGTGAGAGGGTGGGTAAGTGGAGCTGAGTCCACAAAAAAATCAACTATGATCTTATTGAATGGCGGAGCGTGCTCGAAGGTCCAGATGGCCTACTCCTGCTCCTGATTCTTATGTCCTTATGTTCTACAGTTATAATTTCATGATGATTTCACATCATAGTTTCACTATACAAGCACTAACTTTCAATTCCAGATCTGATTTTAGAATCGAAGAATCAATTCTGAAGGGCAATATCACCAGCTCTGGGAGACGTCATGGAGAAAGCTCAGTCTTTCACTCTCAACGTGGCATCAAAAACCTCAGTTCTCTATGGACCATGTTGTGAACTGGTGCTATGCTGTCAAGTCTTTAAGTTGAAAGTTTAGAAAGAAGCTATTTGGCTCACTGAGTCTGCACCGACCCTCCAAAAAACATCCTACTCCCTTATCCTATCCCTGTAATCTCACATTTCCAATGGTTATTCCACCTAACGTGCACATCCCTGGACACCACAGACAATTTAGCATAGCCAGTTCACCTAAACTGCACATCTTTGGACTGTGGGAGGAAACACATTTTACTTATCAGTTGAGCTTAAATTCACGATCTGCTGTAGTGGAATTTGAATCAGTGTGCCAGGTATTAGTCTGGCTCTCTACATTACTATTCCACTGTCTCTTTGCTATCTTAATGTTCCTTCTGTGGTATGATGATGAAAGTAGGAATTGAAGTGTACTTACAATGATCTCAATGGGGTCTTTGCTTCATTTGCACTTATTATAAATAGAGGAAAGAGAATGGAGAATAAACAGCCACTGCAAAACACAAAGAGGAATATCTGCTGTTACAAAACCATCTTATTAGCAACCTTTCCTGGGCAAAACACCTTTTACATTGGAATTGAATGAACAGCACATTTTATGTCAAGCTTGAGCCCACGAATCAGTGTTTCCCAGACTTTTTCTCACTGTGACCTCAGAAGAATGATCAAACTTTCAAGTAAGAACTGCCCCTGGGGGTGGGTGGTGGTGGATGTGGCAGCACATGTAGTGACAGTCTGATGCAGGGTCTCTCCACGAGTGCAGGACGTATTTGCTGCAACACGCAGACATTCACTGTGGCCAGAGCTTGCCCGGAGTATTTCTGTCATTATTTTAATCAAAAGCTGCTGCATTTTTTGTTCAAAGAAAGTGTTTCTCTCCTTCTCACTTCTCCAGAGACAGTGTACCTCTACTTCTATATGTTCTCTCTTCTCACATTATCTCCTTTTCCTGTTTGCATTCTTCCTGTCCTCTTCTCTTTCTGTCCAATTCTCTCACACTTTGTCACAATTTGAGCACTGCATCCCGATCCCATCATTACACTTTAAGAAGGGCACAAGTGTCCTAGAGAGGGTGCAGTGAAGGGTTAATCGAATGTGTCCAACGATGGAACAAACTGGCTAGAAGGTTAAGCTGGAGAAGCTGAGATGGTTTCCTTGGTTATATGGGGCTTGGGGACAAGAGATTGAGAAGAGATCTGATACAGGTCTACGAAATAAGGTAAAGATATAAAAGCTTTTCCAATTTGCCGATGGCCCAAGGACTAGGGAACACAGATTTAGGCTTTTTGCCAAAAGATGCATCAGTGAAGATGAGAGTAAGAGCTTTTTAATACAGTGAACAGTACTGCCCCATACTTGCTGCCTGTGACGGTACTGGATGCCATGAATATGACAGATTTCAAAGTAAATTGGACAAGCAGGTGGATGAACTAAATCATAGAATCCCTACAGTGTGGAAACAGGCCCTTCGGCCCACAAGCCCACACCAAACCTCAGAGCATCCCACCCAGACCCATCCCCCTATAACCCACCTAATCTACACATCCCTGAACACTACGGGCAATTTAGCATGGCCAATCCACGTAGCCTGCACATCTTTGGACTGTGGGAGGAAACCGGAGTACCCGGAAGAAACCCGCACAGACACGGGGAGAATGTGCAAACTCCACACAAACAGTCGCCCAAGGGTGGAATCGAACCCAGGTCCCTGGCGCTGTGAGGCAACAGTGCTAATCACTGAGCCACCGTGCCTCCCTAAACTAGTAGGGTTATGAAGGTACAGCAGGAGGAGACGGACTCATTGGATTGGTCCATAACACTGGCAAAGACTTGATGGGCTGAATGTAATGACTCTGTGACTTTTCACCATTGTTGCTTCTGAGTATCTTACTTTTCTTTCTTTCTTGGCGACATGAAGGCAAATCTAAGTTTAACAGATCACAAGCACTTAGTTCTGTCACAAAATTTCTGATTTTTTTGTAGCAGTCAGTACTGCCTTTGTCAGTCTTTGCATAGACTGCAAGTGCAGTGTGTGCAGTTTTGGTCACACTTTAGTAAGGATGTGATAGCACTGGAGGGGGTGCAGAGCAGATTCACCAGGATGTTGGCTGCAGTGGAGCATTCAGCTGAAAGGCATGGACACGGCGAATAGAAAACAGTTGTACTCGCTAGTCAAAGGGGCGTAATTTTAAAGTGAAAGACAGGAGGTTCAGAGGGGATTTGAGGAAAACCTTTTTAAATAGAGGATGATGGGGGTCTGAAATGCACTGCCTGGGAGGATAGTTGAGACAGGAAACCTCACAACCTTTAGGAAGTACTTGGATAAGCACCTGAAGTGCCAGAACATTCAAGGCTATATGGGACTAGGGTAGGCATTAGTTGGCAATACAGACTTGATGGCTGAAGAGACTCTTCTTTCCTGAATGATTCTATGCTAGTATTTGGCAAGGAAGATTGCACTATCTAATCAATGATACAATCATTAATGATCATAAAGTAATTTAAAAACAAGGTGAGAATTCAAATTATTTTAGTAGGTAGGGACTGGGAGTTGATGTAGTTCAGTGAAGGTAAGGAAGATGGGTGATCAGGAATTGGTCTAGTATAAGATACAAGTGGCAGGGTTTTAGGTGTGGTTAAGACATTGGAGGATAGGAAGATAACCACAAGATCACTGAATAATCATACATGGAGGTTAGAAAGACATGAAAATTTCTGAGGAAGACGGCTGAGGTAGGGATAGCAGTAGGTGATGTTACAGAAGTAGAAGCTGGAGAGCTTTTTGAAGATGTGAGCTTGCACCAACACTAAGGTTCTGTGGTCCACCCAAAGTCAATGATCAGGGAGGTTCACGGAATGAGTAGTGGCTTGTCATAGGGAATGAAGAAAATGACTTTGGTTTTACCGACATTTACCTGCAGAGAACTGCACTCATTAAAAGATTGGAGTCTGACAACGTGGAGTCCATGAAGGGATAGAGCTGTACTGTTGTAAATTTGTGTCAGTATATATGTAGAACTTATCCTCATGTCTGCAGATGGTGCTGCTGAAGGGCTGACGGTAGATGAAGAGAAGGCGGAGGATAGGTGTTTGCTGGAGGTAACAATGAGGTAATTGGGAGGGCTACTCGTTTATGGATATGCCCTTGCCGTACTTGAATAAAGTCAGAAGTCACACAACACTAGATTATAGTCCAACTGGTTTATTTGAGATCACAAGTTTTTGCAGCTCTGCTCTTTCAACAGGTGAAGTGTATTTGAATAAGAGTGGAATCTTTAAGGGCAGTGCTACTCATTTTGATAATGGAAGCAAGGTGTTTGGAGGTATTGTTAAAACCTGCAGACATTGAAAAGAAATAAGGCACCAAAAAGCCTGTTATGGTGCTCCGGTAAATGTTGAAACCTGACTGATTCAAACTGATTCAAAGATTCAAACAGGATGCTGTGGCAAGGGTGTAAACTTGGGAGACTAGGACTTTGGAAAGAAAGGATGAATCGAAAATACTGCAACAGTTTGCAAAGGAAGAGGAGTGAGGAACGGTTGTTTGAGGAGCTGGTGATGACAATGATTTCACAGAGACTGGGATGGTACACTGCTCGAGCACCAAGGAATTTTAAAGCACAAGAGGCTATTCTGCCCATCAAGCTTATACTGGTTCTTTTGAAAGTAAAAGATATTTCCTTAGATCCAAACTCCAGATCTTACCCTCACACTATATAATTTGTTCACCTTCACGTATTTAATCCAATTTCCTGTTAAAATTTACTGATTCTGCTTCCATCAACTTTTCAGACAGTGCATTCCAGATCAGAATAAATCATTGTACAAAAAATGTTCTTAATTCACCTCTGCTTCTTTTATGAATCACATTTAATCTGTGTCTCCTGGTTACCTTCCTCCCACTGGAAATGGTGCCTCATTTACTGTATTAAAATTATTCATAATTTTAGACATCAATTAAGTCTCTCCTTAACATTCTCTGCTCGAAGGAGAACATTCATCACCTTCACCCTCACCACATTACTCATGCCTGATACCATTCTAGTACATCTCTGCATCCTATCTGTGCCATTAATATCCTTCCTGAAGGATGGTGCCCAGGAATTGAAACAATACTTCAGCTGGGGTCTAAGCAATGATTTGTACATGTTCAGCAGAACTTCCTTGCTTTGTGTGCTTCTATTAACAAAGCCAAGGAGCCTGTAGGTACTTTTAAAAGCAACTGTTAAGGGAATTGAGACTGTTGCTGCAAAGTACCTACCTGATGACATAGGATGACGGCAGAGCAGTGAGGATAGCTAAAGGCAATCCAAAACCAAAATAATAAGGCCAATTCCTCTCGATGTTGGACAAGCGCTGATGCATCTCCACCCCTGTACAAAGCACAAAGAACAACATTAATACTGTGAATCAGAAGCAGCATTCTGTCATGTGATGAATGCTATGCAAGGAATGTGTATTTATGACATATCACACCAATGTTTGCCACTGTCACATTCCAACTGGTACCAGGTTACTCAGTGCCTTGAAGGATACAGACTATCCTCCCTTCGCACCCTACCATTGTTGTGCTCCACCTGAGAGATGAAATGGGCCAGACTTCCTTGACATAGATACCTGGCTGGTACAGACATACTCACTAGTTTGAGAGGTGGAAGTAGGAGCATAGCTAAAACCTGCAGCAGTATTCCTAATTATCTGGCACTGAATGCCTTCAACCTTGCCCTGAAGAACAACAGGCCCTAATGTTCAAAAAGCAACCTGGAACCTCAAAGGGCTCTTACCTGCCTGACTTAATCTTCAGGGATCCTAATAAACCCTCCAAGCTGCAAGGATCCCAGCACAAGTGTCACTCTGAGCTTCTTTTACAACATGCCCCTACTGGGAGCTTACTACAGATGGACACAGAGGAGAGGTGAAGCAAAAGTGTGGGAATGCCCCTTTGAATGGGCCTTCAGCAGCTTGGGGAAACTTGGTAATTGGTAGAGAAGGACATAACTCCTCCACCCTTATTACCATCACTCCATCTAGTATTCCTCAGATGTAACAGGAGAGGAAAAATTGCAGTATAAAGTTAAAATGCACATTCCCAATAACTTTCACGATTTCTCAAGTAGCTGTTAGTTTTATTAGGATTCCCCCAATAGTGAGGAAATGACTCATTCCAATGAAATTCAAATAGCGCGAGTCAATAAATATGAAATTAAAAACTCAAGAAGAGCAGGTGTTTGCTGTGCTCTGTGGTAAGCATTCTTGTCTGAGTCTGAAAGTTTGAGAATTCCAGTCTTGCCTCAAAGACCATCAGACTGACTTTCCAGTGTAACTTGAGGAAATGCTGCGCTCTTGGAAGGGTCAACTTTTGATCAGGTTATGGTCCTGCCTGTCCCCCTCAAGTGAATGGAAGAAATTTTACAGCATTATTTGAGGGAAGTGACCAACCCTGCTCATTTTCCCCATGAACCCGAGGGTGTTTTCCACCCACCCCCTCACCTTCAACAGTGATCACCCTTGCCATTTCCTTCCTCCCCCAACCCTGACAGAGATCATCCATTTCATCGACCATCCACCTTTCTGAAATTGACCATGTAGAAACCAGGGATTACCGAAAATGAAACAGAGAGCAACTGCGGTATGGGGTAAGCGCATTTAGTGGTGCAGGGCTGGATGAACAGTGGGGAAGCATGTCTGGGGGAATTGTTGAACTGTACTGCGTGGGAGTAAGCATTGTTGCGGGTGCTTTCCCATTGCTGCTGCTGAGTTACAACATGCAGCAACTTTAAGACTAGCTGTGAAAAACCAGAAGTATATCTGTATAAGAACTAGGGGAAGGACATAGCTACAGCCCATATGTGTGTGATTCTGACCAATTTCAGAGCAATTCAGGCAGGCTGACACTGACCATCGGAATTCTAAACTCCCTAAGTAAACACCACGGATATAATAACTTGGGACTTTCTCAGGGTAATGTAAGTGAAGTCAGAGCCTCTTTGGATGTGGATCATGGCCAAAAAAAAGGCCTCCCATACGTATAAATATGATTAATTTTAAAGTGAAGCTGAAATACTGGGAGCAGGTCCAATGCCTATTTTCCTGTGGAGACCAGACAAGAAATGGAAAGCATTTAAATACCATAGAAGTCCTATCCACAATTAAAAATAGAATTTAGCAAATCCCAAAATAAAAGGAAAATGAGCTCAGAACAACAGAAATTGCTGGGAAAACTCAGTAGGTCTGGCAGCAGCTGTGGAGAGAAAGGAGAATTAATGTTTCGGGTCCAGTAACTCTTCTTCAGAACTAGAAGTAGGGTCACTGAAGGGTTCTGAGGAATGGTCACTAGATCTGAAACGTTAACTTTGCTTTCTCTCTACAGATGCTGCCAGACCTGCAGAGTTTTCCCAGCAATTTCTGTTGTTACTTCTGACTTCTAGCATCTGCAGTTATTTGTGTTTTTTTTCATTTGGGACAATGAGCTTTCCTGCTGGTTGTCTGTTGAAGCTTCAAGCACACAGACTAGCACAGGGGTTCCCAGTCTGCATAGAGTCAGCTGACAGTAGCAAACTGATATCTGCCCTAGCTAACTAGCAAGGGGTAAAGGTTGTGGGGGGGAATGGTCCATCAGACTTTTTGTATCTGGTGCCAATTGAGGGAATTCTGAAAATATTGACTTCACTTTACATTAATGTCCTTCCACTGGCGATGAACGCGCTTTTCTATTGCAACAAAAACAGAAGTTGCCGGAAAAGCTCGGCAAGTCTGGCAGCATCTGTGAAGAAAAAAATCAAAGTTAACGTTTTGGGTCTAGTGACCCTTCCTCAGAACTTCTGCTCCTGATTTACAGCATCCGCAGTTCTTTTGGTTTTTATTTCGCATTTCAATTGAGTAGCTTGTTCTGGGATGAAGTGGTGTGTGTGGCTTTTCAACATAATGTCCATTGTTCAGGAGTTAGAAGTGGACGGTCCAGGTTAGCCACTGAGCTGTTGCAAGAAGGCCCCTTTCACACAATCTCCTTCCAATTCACAACCGTTCCACAACATGGCATTTCAATAAACAGCTTCAAAATGTCCCGGAGTTAGTGTTATCAGATTTTCAAACCATTTTTCAAGTTTCCGCCAGGAACCGATTCCAATACCAAACGAGGCTCCCTCCCTCCAAATGAGAACACACTCAGTTTCACTGAATTATCACATTTGCTATGTGTCACTGGTACAGAATTGACTCACCGTTGTTGAACCATTTGTACTCAAAGCAGTAGAGAGAATACAGCATTGACATGTGAAACAGGCTCCCCAGCTGTCCTATTATTTCAATAGGAAAGTGACTCACTATCAGCCCCTGAAGAAAACAAACAAAACAGAGTGAATTAGACCAGAGTTCAATGATAAAAATAGCATACCATATCAAAATGCAAAACTTGTCCTTGCTGAATCTCCTCAAAGGCATTTTTCAGCAGAGGCTATTGGACAGCAGTTAGCAGCAGGAACCCTGACCCCATTATCCCCAGATCTACTTCGGGGCAATTAACCTAACTGAACACCTGCAAGTAGCTAGCAATACAATTCTCACCTGAATCACAAGATTCTGAATTTAACCCCCACCCCAGAGACTCGACCACAAAATCTAGGCTGGCACTCCAATTCATGATTGAGGGACTATTGCTTTCAGCAAGATGTTAAACCAAAGCCCTTGCCCATCTTCTCATATGGATGTAAAAGATCTACCAGTGCTTTGGCCAATATTTAAGCCACAGCAGGAATTAATGCCAACTAAAACAGATGACCACATTGCTGAGGGTTCATATACTGGCTGCTGTACTTCCTATGCTTCCTATGGCCACACTTCCAGAGTATTTTGTTGGCTTTAATGAACTTTGGAATGTCCTGATGCAGAAAGCATTATATAAATGCAATTACATCCTTTGCAATGCTCCAGCTGAGATCAACTAACAACTTACAGTCACAGTTAGGGTTTGTATTTTTTAAACAGAATTTTTGAATTATGACCCAACAAAGAAACTGAGTTGTACAGGAAAAGTTTTTGACCTGCTGTCAAAGGCAAAGAAATATTTCAATTCTCATACATCTCACTCACTGACTGTTATCCCTCACAATACCACATTAGCACAGGATTCAAGTAATCCATACATTTCTAGTCAGACACAAAAGAAATCCAATTGGATCAGCAGTCACTCTATATCTTCACGGTCTAAATTCTTACCACCTGTAGCATGACTCACTTCAGGTTTTTTTTTAAGATTTAGATTTTATTGTCGCATGTGCCTATGTACAGTACAGGATACAGTAAAAAGTGTATAATGGCGCCATCTTAAGTACAAAGGTACCTAGGAACAAAAAACTTTGGTACAAAGTAGTAAAAGAAACAAAGTTGAAAAAAAAAATTTAAGCGTTATCTCTTTGAACAAATAGAAAAATAAAGAAATAAGGTCATAGTTAACATTAAACTCAGAGCACTGCGCTTCATACATACCTGAATGAGGAACAAGGCCTGCAGAAGCAGATTGAAAAGCATGTCTGCGATAATCTTACTTATGCTGGGGAACGGTTGTGCTTTCTTTCCAGACACTTTAAACGCTAGGTCAGCAATGTCCTGTAACAAGTAATGTTTTTAAACAATTATTCACTCTTAAAAGCTACCTTAAAAGTTGACTTTTATTTGGTGGGGTATGAGGAGCTAAGAGGGTAGTATAAGTATTTATCATCATCACCTCCTGCTTACAATTATTTTCTAATTTACCTGTTCCCAGACTGAAGGGTGCACTCACTTGAAACCTGTTTACAGATACAGTCGGACCCTAACCCTCCCCATGCATTTCCAGCACTCTTCAATTTATAGTCACATTGTCATTTTTTCCTTTTTTTTTGCCAATGTGACTGCAACTTGAGACTAGGTGTGTGGATGTAGCCCACAGAGTTTCTCCTGTAGCCAACAGTTGACCTTCTGCACTGGTAATAAAATGGCTGAGATCAGGAATTCAGGAAAACCATGGAAATAGTGGAAATCTCTACTGAAGGATTAAGCTGCGTGATAATTGCTGTAAATCTACCTAATAATTTTAAATTGATCTGATTAGTAATAGCAGTCAAAATATATGTTTAAATAAAAGAAGGTCTCATTTTCAGGATGCCTTTGAAAACTAAAGTGTACAGTGCTATGTTTTTTAATCAGCCCTTTTCCTACCTCTTGAAGTCACAAGTACTGGCGGTTGAAAAAAATTACCACGCTACAGCCTTGGCAAAGGATCTGAGAGGCAGTGGGAGGACAGTGGGCATCAGCACACAAGAGCTGACTCAACAACACAAACAAGCAAAGGCAAATTCTTAAATTCACAACATTGAGGCATCCTGGATTAATGACCAAATTCTCACTGGTTCAGCTGCTTTGCATTCACAAGCTCAACAACTGTTTCAGATATAAAACAATAACTTTAAAGCAATATTATGTTCCGAGGCATTATAAAATAAGACACCAGACTACATAAGGAGATACAAGGGTACTGGCCAAAACCTGATTAAAGTGTCTTAGGAAGCATTGAAGAAAGTTGAGTGGTTGAGACATCTCATTCAAACACATGGGATTCTTAAGTACTTGACAGGATGTGGAGGTGCCAGTGTTTGACTGGGGTGGACAAGAAATCACATGACACCAGGCTACAGTCCAACAGGTTTACTTGAAAACACAAGCTTTCGGATTGTTTCTGAGAGGATGTTTCCTCACATGGGAGAGTTGAGGACCAAACAGTCTCAGAATGAAGGGGCACCAACTTAAGATTGATATGAGGAGGAATTTCTACTTTTAGTGGGTCAACAGTCTTTGGATCATCTTGCCACAGAGAGCCGTGGGGGCAGAATCTCCATCTATATTTAAGGCTGAGATAAATAAATTTTTGACCAGTACAGGAATCAAGGGTTATGGGGAAAACACAGGAAACTGGATGTGAGAAATGTCAGATCAGCCACAATCCTATTGAATGGTGGAACAGACTCAAGCAGTCAAGCAGCCTGCTCCTGTTCCCATTTTTTAAGGTCTTAAGAGACCAAAATTAGATAAGTGCAAACATCTTGGAATATCGTTGGGGCTGGTGAAGATCACAGAAATGGGGAGACATGAAGCTAGAGAGAGATTTGAAAATAAGGATTACAAATTTAAAATCAAAACATTGCTTGATCACAGCAGTGACAGGGAGACAGGATGTGGTGCGAATTAACACACAGGTTGTTGAGTTTTGTGACATCAAGTTATCAGGGGAGAATATGGGCTCCAGCCAGGAGTGCACTGGAATAGTCAAATCTAGACATAGTGAAAACCTGAAAAAGGGTTTCAGCAGTAAACAAGTTCACACAAAGGCGAGGTTGGGTAATGTTATGGAAGTCAAGATAGATACTGTTAGTGACAATATGAATGTGTGGTTGAAAGCTCATCTCAGGGTCAAATATGACACCAAGATTGTGAACAGACAGGTTGTTTGGGCAGGGCGAGGGTTGAAAGGGGGATAGACTCAGTTGAATTGTGTTGTAAAACCTTACTTACAGTTGCCTTTTGCTTAATCCCCAGAATTCCCATGTCCAGTGAGCTGCACAGATCATGGAGTTGCACATCATGAGTGTTACAGACAACTCTGAGATGGAGCAAAAGGCAGCAGGAAAGAGAGATTGAACTACCCCCAGCAATTACTACACCTTCATCTGCAGCAACTGTAGGAGAATCCTTTAGCAAGATGGCGGCAAGGTAGGTCACTCCATTTGGAGGTCCACTCTGCTTGCAAGTTCCCTTTCCTTTTCTTTTCCTTTTCTCTTCATCTTCTCCCTCCTCTTATGCAGTAATTCTATCCCACCAACTCCCCGCCCTTTTAACTACCTATCTAGGGAGTCCAGAAGGAGTTGGGTCATGACCAGGAACTGTGTGGCGGGAGCTGAGAACCTGGGCTTTGTCCTGCAGCGATGGCGGATTAAGCATGGGCTGGTTCGGTGGCGACAGTGGGCCAGTGAGGGGGCAGTGGGCAGTGAGAGTGGGGCTGGTGAGGGGGCAGTAGGCAGTGAGAGTGGGGCCGGTGGGGGGCCAGTGAGCAGTGAGAGTGGGGCCGGTGAGGGGGCAGTGGGCAGTGAGAGTGGGGCCGGTGAGGGGGGCAGCAGTGGGCGGTGAGAGTGGGGCT